AGTCTGAAATTAAAATTAATTATTAAAATACCGTGACACGAGAAGTATATTTAAGAAAATGATTCACCAAACGGATGGATGATACGTCACAGATCGACGACGAGCATCCTCTAAACAGACATTGCTAGGTGAAATTGGAACAGCTGATGATAATTGAGGCATTTGTATATCTTACACTTAATTGAACTAATAGCTAGAAAACACAAGATTAATTGTTTATATATTGAATTATTTGATTGTATTAATTTGAAGCAATGTTTAGGTATTTATAGACCTATCTCCAAAATCATCAGTGTATAATGTCACACGAGAAAAATATTTGAAACAATGTTTACATCCAACGTTGTGTTTAATGTTGACGGGTCAAAAAAGGATGTGGTCCTCCCCAAGATTTTTCATTTTTTTTTTTATAAATTATCAATCATTAAATCTCACTTCTATAAATACAAAAATAGGAAGAAAATAAAAATAGAAGTTTTTGCCAAACTCTTATATTACTATAATTGGGTGACACTTGCATAATCTCTTGCACCAAAAGGCGAAATCCCTCGCCCCCAGGGCCCCCATCCCTTGGCCCGACAAGGATTGATGGAGGAATGTAAATGATGGTAACTCAACGGTCCGTTAAGGTAGCGGACTCGGACCTGGTGCTCACAAGGAACCAACCCTCATTGGAGTTGAAATTCCCACACTGCGGCTGCCAGGATTCCATCCTAGGACCTTGCACCAACTTACCACCTCCGGAACCAGTTGAGCTACACCGATGCGGGCAACACTTGCATAATCTCTAATTCTAAGGAGTGTTAGTAATTCATATTTTCGACATGCTATTTATATTTTATTTTGGATTATTTAATTATTTTAATTAAAATATTTATTTTAATATTATATATCTTTGGTTAAAGGGCAAAATTGCGAAAAACTAAATGACAAAAACACTTAGGTAAAAAAGACACATTCTATTTTTTTTTTCTTGCAAATATATCACCTCATCCAACACTTATCTATATAATATGTAAATTGAAACCCTCATGTCCTAGAATTAGGACATTTGGCATCCATGTAGGCATCCACGTAGACATCCTACTCATTGCACATGTGTCAATTTAAATTCAATCCAATTCAATGAATTATTAAATATCTTATATCCTAATATAACTTATTTTACTATTTATACCATATATTCCATATTGAAGCATTTTTCATATAATTAATCCGGATTTTAAAATTATAAGTATTCATTTCCACCAAATTCCCACCAAATTCGCCTGGTGGATTTAGTGTAGTTCATTTCAACATTTAATTTAGCAAATAAATAATCGGCACTTTTATTTCAAAAAAAAAAAAAATCGGCACTTTTATTAATTATTTCCATAAATGATCAATAACAACAAATCATGAAAATCTTTAAAACAAATTGATTTATTTGTACTCAATCAATCCGGATTTCTTGCAAAATGATTACAAATTTACATTAATATCAACATAATATACTTTCCTAATTCATTAATGTCTAAAAGATCTTCTTAAACCACCTCCTAAACCCTATAAATACTCAATAGTTTTCACTCATTTTCACATTGCCGGATCATATTCATTTTTCATTTGAATGTGTATTTGCTCTCGATACAATTGTTAATTGGTTAGTTTTCTTGATATTCCCTTTTCATTATTATTCGTTGTTAAATTTTTCCATTTCCTCTTCCGTTTCTGCTTTTTAATTATTCATTGTATTATGTCTTTATTATTTCTCTTAAGTAATATATTGTGGTATGTAAACATTCTGACTTTATTTCGTTATTATTTTTTTAGTTGTAATTCACTATTTTTTAATTCTTATTCATTTTAGATGTTTCATTTCAATGATATTTTGTTGTTATGTTCTTTTTTATGTTATTCTTGATGTTTTTTTTTTATTTTTTTGTTAATGGTTGTTATTTTTTTTCTTTTTTTTTTCTTTTTTTTTTGTCTTTTGTACTCTTGATGTTTTAATGGTTGTTTTTTTTTTTTTTGTGATTTTTTTTAGTGTTGGGAGCTTAACAGTGTTAAGGCGTTTTAATTTATTTTGTGTTTTAGTCTTGGTTGGTAATTATAATTAAATTGATAATTTGTGTATATTGGTTTATGATATATGTCGTGCTCAAATATATATGCATTCGAATATTACATTAAAATATAATACTAGACTTATGCATACATTAAAATATAGTACTATATTTCTACATTACAAAATTTTACCAAATTTTATTTTAGGAAATTTTGCTATAAGCATTTAGAAAATATATTATTCATGTAAAATGAGATTGTTTCAAAATAAACATGTACCATTTTTTTGGAATTTATTTTTGATATATATATATAATTAGTATTAAGTGATTAGTATTATGATTAGTATTAAGTTTAGTATTATAATTAACATTAGCATTAGGATTATGACTACGGTTATGACTAGGATAAGGATCAATATTAGGATTAGGATTAACATTAACATTAGTATTAGCATTAACATATTTGGATATTAATATTAGAATTGTGATTAGTAGTAGTATTCCGATTAACATTAGAATATTAATATTAACATTAGCATATTAGGATTATCATTAACATATTAGGATTAACATTACCATATTAGGATAATCATTAACATATTAGGATTAGTACTATTAAATTAGTATTAGTATTAGAATTATGATTAAGATTAAAATTAGAATTCGTTTCAGTATTAGCATTTCTATTAGGATTAGGATTAGGTTTATAGGATTAAAATTATGATTGTGATTAGTATTAGAATTAAAATTAGTGTTAGCATTACAATTACGATTAGAATTAATATTAGCATTAGAATTTAGATTAGGATTAGCATTAGAATTAAGATTAAAATTAGCATTAAAATTAGCATATTAGCAATAACATTATATTAATATTAACATTAACATTAACATTAACATTAGCATATTTCGATTAACGTCAAAATTAGGATTATATTTATTAAGCATTAGCATTAGCAGTAGAATTAGTATTACGATAAACATTAGCATATTAATCTTAGAGTTTGCATTAGCATTAGCATATTAGAATTAGAATTAGCATTGGCATTGACATTAGCATTATCACATAAATATTAATATTAGTATTAGCATTAGTTTTAGCATTAGGATTAACATTAGCATTAGCATATTAGGATTACTATTGGTATTAGTATTAGCATTATGATTACAATTAGGATCAGTATTAGCATTAGGGTTGTATTAGAATATCAAGATTAGTATTAAGATTTGCGTTAGCATTAGCATATGTGGATTTCTATTAGGATTAGAACTACAATTAGTATTATTATTAGGATTAGAATTATGATTAGAATTATTATTAAGACTAAGATTAGCATTATTAGGATTATACTATGATTAGGATTAGAATATGATTAGGATTATGATTATAATTAAGATTATGATTATGATTATGATTATTATTAGGATTATGATTTGGGTTACTATTAGTATTAGCATTAGTGTTAGGGTTATAATTAGCATTAGGATTAGGATTATCATTGGTATATTAGCATTAACATACTAGGATTAACATTAACATTAACATTAACATTAGCATATTAGGATTAACATTAGCATTAATGTATTCGGATTAGCATTAGCATTAGAATTAGGATTAGGATTAGCATTGACATTGACAATGGCATTGACATACTAGGATTACCAGTAGCATTAGTATTACTAATAGTAATAGTATCAATAGAATAATATTAATATTTGTAATGGTAATGGTAATTGTAATGGTAATGGTAATGATTATGGTAATGGTAATGGTAATGGTAACGATAACGGTAACGGTAACGGTAATGGTAATGGTAATGGTAACGGTAACGGTAATGGTAACGATAACGGTATTGGTATTGGTATTGGTATTGGTATTGGTATTGGTATTGGTATTGGTATTAGTATTGGTATTGGTATTTTCTATTTCTAATGGTACTGGGAATTTGGTATTGGTATTGGTATTGACATTGAATATTGACATTGGGTATTAGTATTGGGTATTCGGTATTGGT